AGAGTGACGTCATACTCGATACACTGTACAGATGCCAGCTAGCTCACATTTGTGTTTTTAGGTGAAGCGACGACGTTCGGAGGAGCGTAAACTTGATCAACAGGATTATACGAGAACATTATTTCATGCTCATACACTGTGGGTTTTGAAAATGATGATCTAAAGATTCCCATTGAAATTTCAAGACATGGTTTTCTAAAGTGGGAACATGCTTTAGCGGGCTTTTTATTGATAAAAGACTATCCTTCCAAAAGATTAAGTCAAGGCCCAAAAAATTGTAGAACGATAATCTTGATGATATAGTTACTCTAGACAATGGTTTTTTTTTTTTATTTTTAAGATTAAAAATGAGGATGCTTTGTTGATAGTAGAACTTTTTATTTTGGGATTATATTAATTGTTTTCAAGAGATGGCATTGCGGTATGCAATTGACTAAGAAATAATTTTCTAGTGTCCCAATTTGAGTGAAATTTTATAATATCTCCCTTGAGCTATGGGCCGAAGATGGTTTGAGTTATGTAGCTAGTGTTATTGGTACTACTTTATTTTGTACCTTGATGAATATACCCAATCACTTAGTGGACTTACTTTTACTAGAGGTTGTGTCGAGATTCATGCTAATAAGGAAATTTCAAAATCCTTCATGCATAATTTGGGATATGGTGATCCTTATGAGGTTAAGAGGTAAAGAATTATAAGGGCAAAGATAGTGTGCATGCTTTTCCTAAAGATGAGAAGAATGAGCCAAAAGTCACCTTATCCTCAAATTATTTCAACTGCCGTGTGGTTAATATCATGTAATATGTGACATGTATATTGTATGAAAAAAGATACGAAACACAGACACATATCGCTGGTGAGTTGAATCGCTATCATATGATTTCATATTGTACTGTGATTCAACGTATACCAAACAATCAATTCATCTTTATCTTCTCCATCACTTTTGACCCTGTTAACAACTTTTTTTTCTTTATCAATCCCATGACCGACACTCACTGAACAACCATGAACTATGTTCTCCGAAAATCCCTTACAAAAGAGACCCAATTCCAAATGAACTCGCAAGAAAAAATGACTCTCATATTGTAGCATTTGAGTTTAGAACCAAGATTTGAGCCAAAAAGGCTTGTTTTGACCATGTCAATAAACTGTATAACAAGTATGTTTGGGACTACTTATATCTAGAAAAATAGTCTCAAATCATGAACCAAATGGACCTAAAATCAAAGCAGCCAGGCCCGACTGGAAAAAAGAAAGAAAGAAACTTATGACTCATCTTTCATATTTGAAATGAAATGTCATTTATCTTTTATTATTAAATTTTCAAAATTTTCCTAATTTCTTATGAGTTGGATAGTTGGGTTTTAAATGGATGTATATTTAGCTCTTTAACCAATTTGTAAGTTTCTTAGAGAGAATTTTCAAGTTGTTAGTCATATGATTTAGTACTTTATTCTTACAATATATTTATATATTATATGAAAATACTTTTTTTTATTATCTATATCCATATATGATTATGTATCTTAAAATACACAATACTGAAAAGTGATACAATGATACACAATATGTATTACGATTGGCAACACTGATTTCGAGGAGCTTGCCTTGTCTTATTCCAAGGATGGGTGTGATTCCAAGAGTGAACAAAGTACTAAGAATGAAGCAAACTGTCCATCCAAACAACCCAATGAGGATGGTTCAAGGGGTCTTACCGACAAAAACGATAGGGTTGCTTTAAGTTGTGGCTGAGTTCTCTCCTCCAAAAGAAGACAATGTTTCTTCAAGTAAAGTTGAAGCAACAGGGATTATGGAGATCACATCTTCCCCTAGGGATGCTATACATAGGAAGCTTAAGGAAAAGATCAGCAACCTAAAATTAGCTAGAGTATAAGCTATCGCAATCTCCGTTTAACCAAGGAAATCAAATCATGCCTAAAGCCTTCTACCAAATCTTAAAGTTCTAGGAAAAGCAAGGAGATTAGGGCTAATTCAAATATTCACTTATAGGTTGTGAATGTGTATACCTTTTTGCTGGAAATTTGTGTTAATGCATATAATAAGATAGTGGCATATGATAGTGGTGTTGGTGGTAGATAGTGGCTTGTATAGAATATGATAGTGGTGTTGGTGGTAGATAGTGGCATGTATAGAATATGATAGTGGTGTTGGTGGTAGATAGTGGCATGTATAGAATATGATAGTGGTGTTGGGGATAGATAGTGGCATGTATAGAATATGATAGTGGTGTTGGGGATAGATAGTGGCATGTATAGAATATGATAGTGGTGTTGGGGATAGATAGTGGCATGTATAGAATATGATAGTGGTGTTGGTGGCAGATAGTGGCATGTATAGAATATGATAGTGGCATGTATATAATATGATAGTGGTAGATAGTGGTAATATATAATATGTAAGTGGCATATAATGGGTTATAATGATGTTTGTAATATCTCCTATATAAGGAGTTTCATTTGGTCTTGTAAAATAAGAAGTTTTGAATATAACAGAAATATATTCCTTCTTCCTCATATTTTCGGAGTTCTTCTTCCTCATATTTTCTAAGTCGATCTAATAATAAAAGAAAAACAATGTAAATTTTTATACCTGCTAATCAATCTTCCGTTAAACTTTAGAATTTTGTGTAATGTTTTATGTTTTATTAATTTTGAATGAAATATTCATACATAAAACACATAATAAATATATAAAATCATATATTTTCCGTGTGTTCCTCAAGTGTCATGTCCTACATTTTTAAAAAAAAATTGACATCTTGATGTGTCTTTGTCTTTGCCCATGCTTTTTAGATTATGCCTTCAGGGTTAACAAAATAGTAAATGAAAAAGAACGAGAACGAGAAAACACGAGAAATAAAATTAAAAAAAAAAGAAACATGTAACCTTTTCCCTCAAACCTGTGCAGCAATTGCAAGTGCATTATGTCGGAGTGTCTGTAATTTTTATTGAAAGGGAATATTTGTGGCATTATTGATTCAAGTATAAATAAAGGTTACAAGCGGAAGAACCCTAATAATCTCTCTTTTACTCCAGTAGCCTTTCATCTCTCACCTTTTTATTTTCCTTCTCTATTTGTTTCACGTCATTCTTCTTTTTCCTTCATTCTTAATCATACATAGAAAACAGCTACGGAAAGATGACAGCCACAATCCAAATGGCATAAGAACAAAAAATTGGTGACATGCATTGGTTACTCTTATGGTTCTAACGTTTGTTGAAATATCAAAAGGATTGTCACAAATTATTTATCTTGACATAACAAGTATATCAATGTGTAAACACATAAGTCTTCATAAATTTCCCCTTCGCTTATTGAATTGCACAAGCTCTATACCACCTACGAAGCATTAGGAGTCCTTGAGCACAACTTTGGGAGAAATGAAATTAATGTTCTCGAGCTTAAATGATGATATAACAAATTGAAGTAATGGACCAACGTTAATTGGCCTAAATCCATTATTGTAATCAAGATTTTGCATACATGAATGCTACTGATTGTACAGTTTGAGATCCAATCATGTTTCATTAAAATTACATCCACAAATAGTTTGTCACGAAATAACCTATAAGCTACTCCCATTACACTAGAAATATGCAGAAGCAATAAATATTGAGAAAAGCATTCAAAGCTAGCAGACATTCAAAAGATAGATAGTTCCAGGTAACTTTAATCAAACCTAAAAAGTGACGAAAGTCAAGGAAACACGTTCCAGCTCCCCAAAGACCAAGACGAACCATATAACCCATATTGCGTGTCTCCGATGCACCAGTTGCTGAGCAATAAATAACACGAGCTTCAGGAAGCTGAGCCTGTTTTTAGAATTTGTAAATAACTGTTAGAACCCTTCCAATTTACCAATGCCATGCAATTTTGCATGGTAATGGCCTACCCATTTAGAGTTTCAGAAAAATTTCTTAACTACTAAGTAACAAACATAACCCCAACCCACATTTGCCATACTTGGTGTCTCATCATTTATCATTAACACAGTGCCGAACAAATGAAAAGGATTACACCACATAAAACCTTTGTCAGACCTCTTGTACTTATGGATCTTGAGAATAATTATGCTAGAAGGTAGAGAAGACCAAATTTATCATGGATTGAAATAGTAATAAAAAATAGATTAAGTATCACCTAAAAGAGCAGAATGACTACATAATGCACGCAAGTGATGGTAAATAGTTGGGACAAGACTTTGTTGAGTCAAGTAATGGCATAAAAAGGACTAATAGACTTGGTATTTAGGGGTCACGAGCAAATGAAAAAAGAAGTGTTTTCTACCCCCAAAACAACAGTTTATACATGATATAACCGACTCTGAATAACAGGAACTAAACCTGCAGAATCCTATAGCCTTGCCAATCCATTAAATATTAACAGGTTTGCATTTGCATTTCTCAATGGTCAATTGAACAAAAACAGAACAAACTGAACTTGAGCCAGCCCATTGAAAGATCATCTCTAAACCTCTCAACATGGGCTCTCACGCCGACCTTGACTGACTTTTTATATACTTAATTACTAGTTTGGTATATCCAAAACAGAATCAGATTGGCTTTGGAGATGCAGCTACAAAAAGAATAACTTTCAAGCACATGTTCTCAACCTGATTGTCAACACTTGAGGGCCAAGTTATGCATTTTTCAGCCCATGCAAGATTTGCACAGATCCAACTAAATCTCTAGCACACATAAACATACTTCTTTTAGCCCCCATTAATTGAAGGTTAAAGGCAAGGTTGATTGGGTAAAGACACAACATTCAGCATTATTCACACAGGGATTGCCCACAAACTAGAACCCGTTTGTTGGGCTGAATGTTTACCACTGAACCAGTAGCCGCTTATTACCTCCTACCCAATCTGACGATACAAAACCATAACTTTGGTAGTTTGAAGGATAATCCATGCCAGGTTACTATCAAACCTCATGAATCAAATTGTTCCAGAAAAAAATCAAATATTTTTAAGGTGACACGATGCTGCCTATCTTACTCATGTAGTAGTACTATGTACCTTCTTCTTTTCTTTTTCTTTTTCTTTTTTTATCTTTTTGGCTCTTTTGGAATATTTTACACTAAATGTTCTGTGCATCCTTAAGAAATTTGACTCATTCTCAAAACAATAATATAATGCAGTACGTATTGCATGGTTTCAGAAGAAGCATCTCCATTAAAAACCAAAAATAAGGTTTTCCGACCCAATAACGATCAAGAAGCCTTTCTGGATTTGAGAGAATGTTCAGAGTAGTTGTTTAAGTCCAAGTCAATGTTTATGCTTGGCTAGTATGTTGCACGTTCAGTGTAATATTTTTCAAGTTTTTTCAGAAACAAATATTTTAGGTAGAAAGTAATAAACATCAAGAACTATAGTCAAAGTTACATCAAAGTAACAAGAAAGTACAAACATTTTAGGAAGCATTATATGTAACAATAAATCAGTTTGAAGCACCTGAATCTCAAGAACTGCTTTGCCTGTCTGTGTTGGTTGCCCTCCAGACTCAGGAATCAAATTTTTGGCTTTATGACACTACAATAAGGCCACTGAACATTAGCAATGAAAGAGAAGAAATTGCAATCTATTCTTGCATCAACCATGTGAAGCTTTCTGGGAATGAAACTAAGATAGGCTTATACATCATCTCATCTATTACATAGGAGACCCAAAAATATACCTCATCAAATATGACAAGGCCGTCATATTTTGATCCACACCATTGCACAAGCTGTTTCAAACGAGACCGACCATTCTCAGAAGATGCTATGAGGCAGCTGTATGTCAAGAAAATGACTCCCTCCCTAACACCACATGCCTTGGAATTGAGCTTGGAATAAGGCAGCTTATTCAAAGCATGGACTGCAAATGAAAAAATATAAATTCAACTAAAAATGCCCTTCAATCTGAACCATTAGGCTCAGCCAGAGAAAAATTAAAACTTAAGGAACCATCACGAATTAGACAAGCATTTCAGTAAGTCTTACATATCAAGCATAACACAATACAAAGAATTCATCAAATCCTCAAATTTCACAAATAAGAGAAACAAGAGTAGATATCATGCACTTGCACTTGGCTTCATCTACAACTTTTATGTGCATTCTAGATACCTTTTCTTTCACCTCCCTATTTGCCTCTTCCATTTCTATCTGTGCATATGGTCGAACCTTTTAATGTGTATGCTCTCAATGGTACAAACCATCTTAGCTTCATAATTTAAAGTATCAACAAGATTAGTCCACACCAAACAAAATCAAGGACATACTTTGTGCGCATTTTTCTTTTCATGTCTTTTTATACAAAGAATTGCTAAAGGAACAGAAACATACAGCAACAGTAAATAATCTTTTCAAGTGAAACAAGAAAGGAAAGAACGAACATGCAATGACAATACTGTGCTTACATATAATAAATTTCAATATACGACGAGATAATAACCAAAATATATTAACATCAACCTTCAATACACATTGCACCCACATCATCCAAGTCTCTTCTTGCATCAAATTTCAAGTCAGAACCAACAGAAATCCACCTGTGTAATATCATTGGAAGGCAGTAAAAGCAATACAAAACATGAGTTAAAAAACATCGGACATCTATAATGCAGTTACTAGACCTTCATAAAGTGCAATTAAATCAAGAATGTGACCATGGTCAGATCTGTATGCATGAGAAGATTACATCAACCCAAAATCTTACAATGCTTTCCTCCTCCCATGGTGCCAGTTCTCGAAGATCAACCCTGCAATTGTTCGTCCTTTGCCCACACCAGCTCCATCTCCAATAAAAAAACCTGCCCTGGCACCATCTGGAAGGTGCTGGACATGTCTCTGTCATGGAAACCACTACACTATATCACAAATGATGATGTACAAAATTAGTATCCAAAGTCCAGTTGTAAAAACAACCTGACAAGCATAAACCAATGTCTCAATCTGCAAGCATGACAACGCTTCTGAACTTTCTAGGTCATCTTTGATCATAAGATCATAAGTTGGTTCAGGTGGCTGCACTGCGGATAAAGAAGATGTCTCCACAACAGGATCAGGATGGGAAGGACCAATAGAAAGTTTGGGAGGGCGCTGGACACAAATTAGAAAAGGAAAAATTAAAAGAATTTCATCTCTGCAATAGTTTTCATCAGTTCAAACCAGCAATCAAGGCCGAAACTAATACCCAAGGTAGATCTATTAAGACATTCTAAAAGAGACATAAAACTCACATAGTCAGTAAATGTTTCTACGGCCGTGCCACCTTCACCTTCTTCTCGCTCCACTTCAACGGCTACCTAAGAGGTTTCGACATAGGAAAAGGAATTAATACTTAAGCATTTTTGCGTAATTAGGACTTTTAAGAGAGAAAATAATCACAGAATCACAAACAAATCAAAATAGAAAAACAGTTGCACGTGTGGATCTTGCAACAAGGTCTTGAAATAGAAATTCCTTTCTAGAGAATATAGCTTTTAAGAAATCCATAATGCACCCCATCTTTGAGGTGCAACCCATGTACATGCGACATAAAAAGAGAAACATCAGAGAAAAAAGGAAGTAAAATAAAATCTCAAGGTAAATAATCTGACAACAATTAAAATATTTATGTTGAATTTTTCTCGAGATGGAGATGCCTACATAGTTATGTTGAATTTTCATTATCTTTGAATAAAATATTTATATCTTAGTTGCACGAAGCGGGAACGAGGAAGCGTGAGCCGATAGAAGTTTCTTAGGTTGGGAGCGCCTCGGGAAGCTATAATATATATATATATATATATTTTTTTTTTTAATACACATTAGAAGTTTTTTTATAAATATTTTTATTTTAATACACATTAATTATTTTATTTATTTATTATATTTTTTAAATAATGTGTTATTGTTAATTTATTTTTATTTTATTTTACATATATGTGTGTGTGTTTTTTATTAATATGTATAATATATACTCATATATATATATGTTATATTTGCATGTGTTAATATTTTTTTTTATGTAAATATATTATAAAGATTATATACATTAATATTAATATTTTTATTTTTTTTATTATATATTTATATGTATATATATGATATATATTAAATAATAATGTGTTAATGTTTTTTATTTTTTAAATATATATATTTATTTAAAGATTTTATATGTTTTATCTTTTATATATATATCTATATATTTTACTTATATATTACGTATATATCGTGACTGAACAGAAGGCGAGAGAGAGAGAGCGCGAGTGAGAGAAGGCAGAGGAGACGATGATGATCAGCAAGGAGACGATCTGCGAGAGAGACGATCTGCAAGAGAGAGAGAGAAAGACGATCTGCTAGAGAGAGAGAGAGACGAACTGCGACAGACGAAAAACACAGAGAGAGAGAGAGAGAGACGAACTGCGATAGAGACGAAAAACAGAGAGAGAGAGAGACGACCTTCGAAGTGATGAAAGAAGAAGAAAAACGAAGCAAAGAACATACCCAAACACAACCTTTAGGTTCTTCTTCACCTTCTTTCTCCTCTCTCTCTTTGTTGACCAACAAGCTAGGATTTTTGTTCTTCTTTACCAACGATCCCATCTTGGACAAGATCGCGTTTCTCTCTCTACAGAAACGTGATTCCTATACGTTTCTTTCTAAAAAACGCGGAATCGCATTTCTTACGAAGATTCGTCACTTGTTAGCACAATTCCTACAACTAAGATTTATATATATGACATTAAATGCACAAAACTATATATTTGGCGTGTGTCCCCCATATATCATGCCCTACATTTTTTAAAAATCGTCATATCAGCTTGTCATGTATTGTCGTGTTGAGTGTATGTGCTTCTTAGGTTGTAAACAAAAGCTATACCCAACATTATGGCATAGATTTTCCAACTCTTTTTTTTTTTTTAAAAGGCTCTAATAAACCTCAATAAGCTTTGCTAAACAGGCCCAACAAAAGAATCTGCACACTTCATTTTCTTGAAAGAAAATAAGGATCATGTCAAGTATTTATTACATTCATCGGAAAAATAGACAGGTACATATCAAATACTACAGTTGACATACAGGAACCTTAAAATCCTTACAAGGATCTTTTGTTCCTTTCCGTCCAAATACTCAATATAAGGTTAAGAGGATAAATTAAAGAATAATTGCAGTCCATTACAGGATAGAATTATGGTAAGATAAAGTCTACATAAGATGGCAAGCATTTAATAATTGGTGTTTCTTTTACTGATCGAGTCATAAATGCACAATTTAAAGTTCATAATAAGCCGAAGGGAGATACCATGAACCACTGTTTTACTTGATTCTAACAAACCCTAATTTCAGTAATTCAGTACAAGCCTTTGATTGGCTTCATTCCCCTTTCCTTGACATCGGTGTTGACTTTGAGGCCAATTGTAAAATTACAACAAACATTGCACGCAAAGACTCCACTGCACTACAAACTCAGTACAAGTTCCACAATGTGGAATTTCAAGGAGTGTTTTTCATTGGAAACGCGGAACGGAATAATCATTCATAAGAATGTCTACTCTCAAGTTTGCTTTCACTGAAAAAAATTGTGAAAAATGCATTGCACATGGAATCACCATTTTCCATTATAATGAATGTTTCCATAGGAAGGCTAATAAATGACCATTCCATTGGGGCTTCTACTTCCCACACAATTCTGTCTCAGTTAACACGCTACTTTCCATTCAAAAGTCAATTTCCTAATAAAACTACATGGTTCAGAAATAAACATCCAAACAAAAAACAATGTTCTGGAAACCTAAACCATCCCATGGTGCTTCTACTTCCCACACAATTTTGTCTCAGTTCACAGGCTTTTTTCCATTTGAAAGTCGATTTCCTAACAAAACTTCATGGCTCGGAAATAAACATCCAAACAAAAACAATGATTTGGAAACCCTAATGTTGTGTTTGGTTGGGAAATTTGAAAATGGAAAGAGAAAATGTAGATAAAATATAAATAAAATATACTTACATTCACCTAGTTTCAAACACTTTTTCCCTGTCTTGTGTCAAATCCCTTTCCAAATCCCTCAACCAAACACACTGTAAACCATTCCATGGGAATTCTACTTCCCACGCAAATTTATCTCAGTTCACACACTATTTTCCATTCAAAAGTTGATTTCCTAACAAAACTACATGGTTCAGAAATAAACATCCAAGCAAAAACCAATGGTTTAGAAGCCCTAGCTTCCGAACCAAAGACATAGCCAAATCATCCTTGGGAAGCTAACTGCCAAACTATATCGTTTTATTCAGAAGTTGATTAAAAAGAGTGTGAACTGAGATAATGCGGCAAAAAATCTGAAAATATTTTCTGGGTAACTAGGCTTTCTGTATTCCCATTTTTCTTTAGGTAAGAAGGAAACATGTATACGATAAAAAAATAAGAACAAATACCCAAAAATCCTGTAAATAAATTAGCTAAAAAAAACAAGGGTTTGTTCACGATCACACTAATCTATATCCAAACAGAATTGAAATATCAACAAAAATTGATAATGGATGATAAAATGAAAACCTCGTTGACTTCTTCAGGCGGTGGCGGCGGCGGCGGCGGCGGCGGCGGTGGTGGTGGTGGTTGGTACAGGTGCGGAGGAAGTGGAGCCGATGGCATCCCCATTTCGCAGCACCCACTTCCAATCGCAATTGATCGAAGCTTTTTTTTGCTTTTTTCCTCTGGACTAGTAGTGATTGCAGATAGATATAAGGAATTTATATATGGGATGAGGAGCAACAAATATACATATGTAATGTATTTATAAACATAATCACATATGCAGTCCCGGAAAAATATTTGCTGTTTTGTGCCATTTTAGCATTTGGTATTTCAGCCTATATTCCCATGAATATAAGGGCAAATTAGACTTTACCCCCTCAATTATGACTATTTGTCATTCTACCCCTCAACCTAAAGATTGATATAATTTGTCTCATTCATCTTTCGAAAATTTTCATTCTAACCCTTATGTCTCCATTCTTGTTAACAGAATGGAGACATAAGGGGTGTTTGGGAAGTCAAAAATTGGTTTTTTTAAAAAAATTTATAAAAAAAAATAAAATAAGCTAAAATAGTCAATAAGACAAAATATCACGTCAAATCTATAATCATTTTTACTTTTTCTCTCACAAACATCATGTCCAATTACAAAAAAATCTAACCTTCTTCCTAAATACAAATATTTAAACCTACTAAAATAATCAAAAATTAAAATAACCTTTCCAAACGAGGCCACAAGAGTTAGATTGAAAATTTTCCAAAGATGAAATAAATAAATTGTCTCAATTTTTGGTTTGAGGATTAAAGTAAAAAACGGTAATAGTTGAGGGAAAAGAGTGTAATTTGCCCTAAAAATAAAATAATAAAATAAATTTTTTAAAAAAACAAATCAAATGCCTACTTTCTAATTGATTTGGTCTTAATTTAAGAGCATGTTTGTTTAGAATTTTTCTTAAAATGGTATTTTGTATGGTTGATATTTAATTTTATAAAAATAAAAATTTAAGGTATAATAATATTAAGTGTGTTTGGTTTCAGTTTTTTGAATTTAATTTTTTAAAAATTAAATTTTTTGTTTTTTATGTTTTTTGTTTTTAGTAAATATTTTTTAAAATTTAAGTAATTTTTTTACTTTTTTAGATGTACCTTACTTAATATATCTAAATAGTAAAATATTTTTAAAAATAATAAATACAAAAAAAAATATGAAAAATGTACTGAATTTGTTTTTTTTTGTATTTTTAGTATTTAGTGAATTTTTTAAAGATTTTTTTCATAAATATTATACTTTTTAACTGTATTCATGTTAAGTGTATTTAAAAATTTAAAAAAAAAACTAAAATATTTAAAAAATCATTGAAAATAAAAAAAAATAGAATTTTCTAAAAATAGAATTAAAGTCATTGTAAAAAAAAATATCTCGTTCATACAAAATAATTACTCCCGGTTCATTCTAGAAAAAAACATTTTACGATATTCGATTTGGTTTGTTTAGGTGTTTTATTTGAGGAAGAATGGTTAGACAAAAATATCTGTATGCCTCACAAAAATTATAACTATCTATACTACATCGGTGTGTTTGTTTTGAAGGATTAGGGGTTGGGATTGGACTATTAGTTTCACCGAACTAATAGTCCATTGTTTGTTTCAAAAGTTTTGCTCCGGACTAATAGTCCCCTGAACTATTAGTCCCATATTTGTGGGACTATCCTGTAACGCCCTCAAAATAATACAATAAAGATAACTCATATGCGGAATAAATATGAGAAACAACATACTTTCATATATCAAAGTTCATTGTTTAACAACTAGTTCAATGCCATATAGGCTTACATCTTTCCAAGTCATTGTTCGGTTACACAAATTGAGTCTCGTTCATTACATCTTAAGCTCTTGCCTTTACAAATAACAACATACACATATAAAACATAAATAAGAAGCTTTTGCTTCTCGAAAGTCTATCCATGTTATTGCCTTAGAGGAAACATCTCACATGCACCTGAAAATGATTTTCCCATATAGAGTGAGCCAACAGCCTAGTAGAGATAATATAACACAATATATGAGGTTTAGCAAATGTATAAATATTACGTGCATAAACAATACCGATACTAAAACATTCACAAAGCCTGCATATTCATATGCCACTAAGACCTAACCTTGTTCCATTTTCCTTCAATTCATTTCCAGTTTATATATGCTACTCAATTCATGAGTTAAATTCATTATCTTTCAATAACCAAAATGATACTACAACTTAATGGTGTTCCAACTATGCAAAACACCCATAAACACTTCAAACCTGCTATTTTACGGATATTTCGTCCGAAGGAATCGACACCCATTTATATATGAAATTTCAGGCCTTTCACCCAGGACACTCTGGCCATCTTGCTTTAAATGAATCCATTCCCTTTCTCCTCCCAAACAAATATACATATGTAATGTATTTATAAACATAATCACATATGCAGTACATCCCCTTTCTCCTCCCAATAAACATACATATACAATGTGTTTATAATATAGTCATATTCAATGACACCAACAATAGATTAGTATTAAATCGCATAATCCTCATGTAATTTCTACAACAAGTATAGCTATCCTTCATTAATAGCCCAATGCAATTATTTCAAAAGGGATGTTCAATACCAAAATAGATAGTTTATTCAAAACTTCTATAGGGGAGATATTACATATCCAATATCACCATTTATAACCACAACCTTCCAATTTCACATTTTCAATGTTAATTCCAATTATTTATGCAAAATAATGATTTAATTAAATTAGGGCAAAATCCCCATTTTTTCAAATATCAACCCAAACACCAAAAACAGCTATTTTGGCACAATATAACCTTATATCCAAACCTCAAACTCACTTATGCCAATTTCATCAAAAACCTTTCTTTTCATCTCATACCCAAATCCTAGATTTGTCCAAACCACAACCAAATCTCATCATCTATATACAATAGCAAATAACTAAGCTAAAAATAATATTAGAGTATAGAAATTCCCTACCTCAAGGAGAGAAAAATAAAAGAGTTGAAACCCCCAAAATCAACGACGATGAAACTCAATCTCCACCCCACACAACGAAGCCCTCGAGAAGTTACACAACTTTGATGAAGGAACTATGGCCAAAATCCCAATGGATTTGGAGAAATCAAAAAGAGAAGATGGTTTATAGAGAGAGAGGCTCTAGATCTGGATCTTGGAGACTTTTAGAGAGAGAGAGGATTGCAAAAAGTGATTTGAAATGTCACTTTCACGAGTTGATAAAGCGCGGTCCGCTCGAGCGTGGAAATCCCCACTCGAGTGTAAGACACAGACTCCTGTTTGAGTGTGAAACTCTACGCTCGAGCGTGAAATACGCTCTCCCAGTATTTTTGCAGACACACTCCCCGCTCGAACGCCCGAATTTCCACTCGAGCGTAGAGCGAAATTTATGAAGCTCGCTTGAGCGCAAGAATGCATGCTCAAGCGGAAAAGCCAAATTCTAGGCAACAAAGGCTTGGAAAAACAAACAACCAACCTGTTCCAAACACACAACTACAACCCAATAACCAACATTAAGGGGAAGACAAGGGAAGTAAGATATGAACCACCATCCAAACCATACAAACCCGAGTCCGGAACACCACAAGAGACGGGTCAAAACCAGGGTTGCTATAATCCTATCCCATGGGGGGTGGGATAGAAACTATGGGATAACTCATCCTATGAGATTAGCCAATGAAATTACGTTTTTGCCCTCTAGTATTTAATTATGTATTATATCTAGTAAAATTCAAAAAAATTTAAATGTCTCAATTTAAAAATAAAATAAAATAAAATAATTTTATTTAATTTTTATTTTTGTTTTATTTATTTAATTTTTTATAGATATTTTATTGATGTTTTATTTTAAAATTTTGTTTATATTTTATTATTTAATTATTATTATTATTTAAAATAAATTTATTTAAAATTTTAATTAAAAAATAACATATGTTTTTATTTATATTTAATTTATTTAATTTTTTAAAAATAAATTTATTTAATTGTGCAAAAAATAAAATAAAATAATTTTTTATTTAATCTAGCTAAAAATAATTAAAATATTAAAGCTATGTTTAATATTGCTATTACTTAGTAAATAATTGAAAATGATAAAATAATCATTTGAGCATTTATCCTTTTCCATAATATTCCAAACAAACATTGGATTCACTAAAAATAGTCCAATCCAAACTTCTAATCCCATAACTAAACAAACATATGATACAAATCCAGTCCAACCAAATAGTTTAGGGACAATGTGTCTCAGGACTAATAGTTCGATGAATTACAATCCTCCCTTATCCAATCCGTCCAAACAAACATACCCTATATATATAACCAAACTATACTATACTAACACTATATATATAATATATTAATTATATATATAACCAAATGTAGTTATATTGGCAAAAGTCTCCAAATATTTGTTCTTAAATTTTCATAATTTTAAAATGAGCAATGATATATACCATTAAAAGTGGTGCTCTAAAGCACCACTAATGAGTTGGCACACACTTTAAAAAAAAAACAAGGCATAGCAACACTGTGGCAGTGGGTGGGATCACTGCCACATCATTAGTGCTACCACTAATTAGTGGTCTCAAGCATTTTCCTTTTAAGATTCTCTCTTTTCTACGTGGCAACCCCTTTTTATTGTCTTTCATGTTTTCTATTATCTTCCATTTTCTATTTGTTTGAATAATTAAAATAAAAATTAATTTCATGGTTTATGGATAAATATTTGAATTTCAAAATTCCTCCATATAGATAAACATATAAAAATTGATAAATAATTTATGAAAAATAATTTTATGGTCTACAGATAAAGATAAAAATTAAATAATTAATTTAAAAAAATTATTTTCATAACTTATAGATAATTTAAAATTTCTTCCCATTAATGAACTTATAAAAATTGATAAATAACATATAAAAATTCATAGATAATTTATGAAAAATTATTTCATGACTATAGATAAAGATAAAAATTAAAATAATTAATTTAAAATTTTGATTTCATGACTTATAGATAAAAAAAAATATAAAAATTGATAAATAATTCATAAAATTAATTTTGTGGTTCATAGACAAAGATAAAGATTAAATAATTGATTTACAAATAATTAAAACAATAAAATTTAAATAAAGATATGATTTGTTAATCTATTTCTATCAAAAACA